AAAAGTGACTTACTTCAGGGTACCACTGATGGTGGAAAAAAAAACATTTAGGTAAACTTTTTTAAAAAATCAAAATGATAATGCCTAGGAAAAAATGATCATTCAATTTACAACAAAACTGTAGAAAGTATCCAATGACTGGATCAGAGTAGGATATTCTTTGAGTATTTCTAGATATGCCATAACCTAATCTGTAAATGCACGAGGCCCCTCTTTTTCTTAAAGTATTCAGAGGTAAACTGTTCTCTGCTCATGGAAGGCTAACTCTGCATGGATCTTCCTATATCTCCTTCACATACAGGCTACGTCTAGACTGGCATGATTTTCCGCAAATGCTTTTAATGCTTTTTAAAAGCATTTTCGGAAAAGAGCGTCTAGATTGGCACGGATGCTTTTCCGCAAAAGTCCTTTTTGCGAAAAAGCGTCTCTGGCCAATCTAGACGCACTTTTGCGCAAAAAAGCCCCAATTGCCATTTTCGTGATCGGGGCTTTTTTGCGGAAAACAAATCTCAGCTGTCTACACTGGCCCTTTTGCGCAAAAGTTTTGCGCAAAAGGGACTTTTGCCCGAATGGGAGCAGCATAGTATTTCCGCAAAAAGCACTGATTTCTTACAGTAGGAAGTCAGTGCTTTTGCGGAAATTCAAGCAGCCAGTGTAGACAGCTGGCAAGTTTTTCCGGAAAAGCAGCTGATTTTCCGGAAAAACTGGCCAGTCTAGACACAGCCACATTGTGTTTTAATACATGAATGCAGGTTTGAGACAGAGCAGTTTAGAAAAATGGCAGTTTCTTCAGGGGATGATCTTGCATTCCTTAATCACCCCCAGATTGTTCACTGACCCTAGTGTAATCCAGAATAAATCCTCTGAAGTCAGATTCAAGATCAGAATCCAGACTAGTCTTACTTAGGGCAGGTCTACTATACTAGGAGATTAGTTCAAATTTAGATTCGCAACTCCAGCTAGGTTAATTGCATAGCTGGAATCCATGTATCTTGATTCAAACTTTGGCACTGCCCCCACAGTAAGAAGTGGATAGGAGAAATGCTCCCGCTGACTTCCCTTATTCCTTGTGATGACTAGAAGTACTGGCACCAATGGTGGTGCCCTCAGCATTTGATTTAGTGGATCTTTACTAGATTCACTAAATTGAGCACCAGAAGATTGACCTCTGAAGCATCAATCTGTGGGTGAGTATAGATGTGGCCTTAGTTTATTTTTATCTGGTTTTAGTCTTAAACTTTTACTTTATAGTATCACAAAGACTGAGCAGAAATACTACATTCAAAGATGTAAAGAGGTGCCTACACTTACATGTCACTTATACCCAGGGCTCGACAAACCGCTGAATCTACTCGCCCGTGGCGAGCAGATTTCAGCAGGTTGCTCCGTGCGCCCCATTCGCTGGTGCTTTGCGCATGCACAGTGCCAATCTGGTGCATGCACGGTGCAGGACTGGCGAGTAGCTCTCGCCGGGGTTTGTCAAGCCCTGCTGATACCTAAAACCATACAACACTAATTTTAGAATCAAATTCACCTCCTTCATACACAAACCTGGTGTTATTTCACTATTTATTAATGATTTCAGAACTGCTTAGAAAACAAGTTGTAAAAAAATCAAACCCTTTAAAGGAGTGAAAGGGCTAGATCATCATATATTCTAAAACAGATGGGCTGTGTCTACACTGGCATGAATTTCCAGAAATGCTTAAAACGGAATACTATTCCATTTTCAGTTTTTCCGGAAAAGGAGCATCTACATTGGCAGGCTGCTTTTCCGGAAAAGCCCCTTTTCCGGAAAAGCATCTGTGGCCAATGTAGACACGCTTTTCCGGAAAAGAGCCCCGATTGCCATTTTCACCATCAGGGCTTTTTTCCGGAAAAGACTACTGGGCTGTCTACACTGGCCCTTTTCCAGAACAGTGTTCTGGAATAAGGACTTATGCCCGAGCAGGAGCAGAATAGTTTTTCTGGAATAGCGGCTGATTTTATACAGTAGAGCATCGTTGCTTTTCCGGAAATTCAAGGGCCAGTGTAGACAGCTCGCAGCTTATTCCGGAAAAGCGGCTGATTTTCCGGAATAAATGGCCCAGTGTAGACACAGCCATGGAGTGGATTGCTGCTTAGAGAGATTAGACAGACACTGATAGTTATTTCACCAAAAGGGTTTTTTGTTTGTTTGTTTAATAATGTTTAATATCTTTTAAAAATAGGAATTTTGTTCTAGTTTATACATATTGTGGCAGCAGGAACAGCTGCATACATTAACAATGTTGCTGAAGTCAACAAAGTGAACAGGAAGAGTGTGGAACTCTTAGAGAAATAGAGAAAATTGGTTTTTACAGAATTTATAGAAGTCAGTGATGGAATTATGGATTTTAACTAACAAAGGAAGATTTATGATCAGGAGGAAATTCACTGTTGGAGTACAATCACTTTCAGGTGCTATAGGTCTCATTTTGAGCCTTAAGAACACAAAAGTGGTGTTTCTTTACTATCTTTAGGCCAACATGTCTATCAATCACAGAACTGAAACTAAATTATAGTAAAAAATTTCTTAGTAACTCGAGCAATGGAATTGAATTTAAAATTTCTGCTTTCCTGATTTGTGTCCTAGTCAGCCTTGCAGCAGGGAGTCATGAATAGGACTACTTGTTGTTAAAAGCCAAGTGTAGGAGTTCTTTGGGAAAACAACAGCAGAACAAATATATATGAATAAAAAGATGCAGAGAAGATAAGCTTTACATGAAGTACTCATGGAGAATTAGATTAAACTCTTCTGGTTTCTCAGTATTTTTTATACTGAAACAAAGAGGACCATAAACCCAGTCCCAAAATCTGAACACCCATAAATATTGGAGAAACTCTTATTCAGATCGCTGTCTGTCTTAGGCCCATTGCTAGATGAGTGATATATGAACAGTGCATATATTAATTATAATCTTGGGGAGTGGAGATGCTAAAAGCTTTGTTCCAAATCAGTCATGTCAGCCATATAGCCAAGTAATTTAACATGAATGAGTCACGTGATTTTGAAGGTCTCTTACCTTAATTAAAACATTGTCATAGCTAGTAGGGTTCATAACATCATAACAAATTAAGACCAAGTTTGTATTCTGGTATGAAAGTGGTCGTAGCCGATCATAATCTTCCTGCCCTGGAAAAGAAGATAAATGCTTTGAATAAAAGAAACCTCATTCTTTACAGTATTACAATATAGATATTTTAAAATGCATTCCCATTGACCATGGTATCAATTTTGTCTTAAAAACACTAATTATATAGCTTGCAAATGTTGTATATCAATCATTGGCCTTAATAAGATGAGCTCCTTGTTTGAAAACGGACAAGACGATATATTTAAGAGCAACAAGTTGATAATAAAAAGGTCTATAAAAATGGAATCCTTGTGTAATCTCAATATAGAAGAAAAAGATTTTTCCCAAAATGTTTAATATTTTGAAAATTGATATGAAGTGGGAAACAAATATGCTGCAGGATCTGAAACATGAAGACTGGATTGTCTTTATTAGTAGAAACACAAACACCATGAGTCTAGGCTGGTAACCAATTACTGATTAAAAAGTATCACAGAATCCTGGAACTGGAAGAGACCTTGAGAGTCCAGTCCCCTGGCCTCACAGCAGGACCAAGCACCGTCCAGATCATCCCTGTCAGGTGTCTGTTTAATCTACTCTTAAATATCTCCAGCGATGGAGATTCCACAACCCCTCTAGGCAATTTATTCCAGTGTTTTAACCACCCTGACAGGTAGGAAGTTTTTGCTGATGTCCAACCTAAACCTCCCTTGCTGCAGTTTAAGCCCATTGCTTCTTGTTCTGTCATCAGAGGCCAAGGAGAAAAATCCCTCTCTCCCTCTCCCCTCCATGACAGCCTGTTGGGCATTTCTCTCTCTCTCTCTCACCCCCCTTCCCTCCCCAGCCTGTGCCAAGCTGGGGCTTTCCAGGTCCCCACCATGGAGCTCCGGGGAGGGGGGGAAAGAGGGAGAGATGACAAAGGGGGAGACGAGCATGGTGGGCACAGAGCAGGGCTGGGCTGTGCTTGGGTTGGACCCCGGCCCCTCCCACAATGCACCAGGACAGCGGAACTGGCCAGTCTTGCTGACATACAAGGTTCAACAGAGGACAGATAACAGGCCCACTTTTTGCAAGATGTGAATACAGCATTATGAAAAGGCCTAAATAACAAACTAATTTCTTTCTGATAACAGTGAACAGAGGTCATGAGGATGACAATTGCCATCCCTCAGATGGATTGTGATTCATTAATAAGCAGATAGCCTCAAAAGCTACACAGTGCAGCATGCCCACTTCTAAACAGTATTATCATCAGCTGACAGCTGATTTTACAAGACACACAGCAACATGTGCCAGTCTTAACTGATCTCTGAAATGGGCCTTAACAGAGCTGTTGATGCCACCTGGAATATTTTTTAAAATGTCCTTTTAGGAATTCGACACGTAGGGTACGTCTACACTTTGTTCCTCTCTTTCTCTCTCTCTTGGAATGCAAACGCAGACACCTGAAATTGCAAATGAAGCTGGGATTTAAATATCCTGTGCTTCATTTGCATAATTGTGTTATGGTGCTATATCGAAATAGTGCTATTTTGAGAGAAAAAATGGGTTTATTTTGAGTTAATACCTTACCTCGAAATAACCCTTACTCTTCAAAAAATGAGGTTTAAGGGTTATTTTGAGGGAAGGGTTTTATCTTGAAATAATCCCGTTTTTCTCTCGAAATAGCATTATTTCGAAATAGTGCCATAATGGGATTATGCAAATGAAGTGCAGATATTTAAATGCCCGCTTCATTTGCAATTTCAGGTGTCTGCATTTGCATTCTTCTCTCTCTCTCTCTCGAGAGAGAGGAATGAAGTGTAAACATAGCTGTAGGGAATTCATTTTACTATTCACACACATTCACATGAGAAATCTGGTCTGCTTGTATTTATGATATATTCATCACCTTTAAATCAGAGCACTGTGATGTCACAACGAGCAAGTGGCTTGAGGTGGCCAATCAGCATCAGAGGCAGTTGCACCAAGAAATCAAAGATACTGTTTCATCAAAGGCCAGTGTTTCAATGGGATGTTTTTTAGTGTTTTCCAGAAGGCATCAGCAGATGTTTAAGCAGACAGCAAAGACTTGGGTGACTGCTTGAGTGCTGTCCATGTGTCAGGTATGTCAGCAGGGAGGTCTTACTTCATGTTTTTGGATTATCATTTTCATATATTTACTGAACACCATGGGTGTCTGATACCTCTATATTTTTGTATAATAATTCCTGCCCAAATAAGATCACAAATAAAATCTTTGCATCAGTATTATATATACAGTATTCCTTTGCTAACAGTTGCAATATAATAACTGTTGATTGTGAAGATGAAGCCATATATAATATACGGCTGTTGTATCACAATATTCCAAACAATGCTTTTGCACTATTGTACTCAAAATGCTTGACTTCAAAGTATGGTGCTATAACAAAGAGCATAGGTACAAAAAGAATAATATTGCTTTCAAATCTCTCTGAATATTTAACTCATGCTGGTAACAGGATTCCTTAGTAAATAACCTATTATTCAGGTTACCACAACTATTTGCATAAAGGATGATTGGTCAGGACCCAATTCTGTGTGGTGCCAAGAGCCTTTTATTTCAGTGGATGTAAGAGCAATTAGTGTTTCAAAAGAGACACTAAACACAGTACAGAATTGGGCCCTTAAATTATTAATCCCAAAATAAGATAATTAAGGAATTTTTTTGTGCTCATCAGTGTGTATACAACATTCAGTAACTATTTCTAATCCTTCTCATTTTCTGAAATCCACCTAGTTGTTTGCATCAGATTTTCCAGTTTTTTTGATAATGTAATACTTTACTTAAGTGATCATCTAAAATTGTATTAAACGTCAGGAGAGGGGCAAAAAGTAAAACAGTTCTAAAGCAATATGGCTAGGATGTGTTTGTACATGTGCTCATGTGCTTTTTTCACTCATATGTTATTGTTTTTAGAATCCACAAAGGCAACTGTATGCAATCAAGTAATCCTCTAGCATCCATTTACAAAATTATCAAGCCTAACCACTACAGCATCTCAATTAGTTTGCTGCTACTTTGCCATAATAGTGGTAATTTGTGAAATAGATTAATGGATGTTCCATTTTACTAAGTCATGATGACCTGGTCCAAGTTGGAACAGAGCAGAAATACTTAGTCTGATGACATGCTAGAGATCTCAAAAGAGCTTCTTTTGATGGGAGTAAGTCTACACTGGTTGAAATAAGCTTCGCAATTTGAGCAACATAAATTGCATATCTTATTTCAATGTTATTTTGAAATTTTGACGTTGTCTACACAGCACATATTTTGAAATAAATCACTATTCCAGAACATCCCTTACTCCTCATTGAATGAGGTTTACAGGGACGTCGGAATAGCAAGCCCAATATATTTCAAAATAATGGGTGAGCTCAAAAGACGTGGAATAGTTGCACTGCTGTGTAGACATAGCCATGATGTAAAAGAAACAGATGTGCCATAATGAGAAACAAAATGGATAGATGTGACATCACATGGTTTCATCTTCACAATCAAAGTTGTGGATGATGGGTTGGGGAGAACCGGGCATTTATTTTTAGAAATAAAAATAGAAAACAACATGGTTTATGGAAATGTAGCATGATCTGATTCTGGGGAGTGCATATTTGTTATTCATCTGTACAGAAATTAACAGCTACAGAGTTGGTTATTAAAAATCATTCTGGGTTATAATTTTAGCCAGCTCAAGTTGATCTTTTTAAACACTGGAGGATGGACACTTTCAAACTCTCTCTGTTGCAAACAGACACTTGCTTTGTGGCAGATGTATAAATAGAATAGTGCAACAGGAAATGGTTGCCTGTATATGAAGTCCTATTGTCTGAGTTAATGTACATTATCTTTTCTTGTAAAAAACAAACAACAAAACCTGTGTGAAGGCAGGCATGCTGGAACAAAAGGTTTGTTTATTCTGCAATTGCAGGACCATATCTGAGCTAGCTTTAATTGAGCTGCTAGATAAAGACAAGTCCTGGAGTAGTGAAGATATAGCAGTACGTGCTTCAGCACACAGTAGCGCTACAAACAGTTGATCAGGATTCTCAGTAGGCTTGTACAGGTTTATCTTAGGTATGTCTACTTAATCTGAAATTACATGATATATCCCAAATGTTTTTGCAATTAATTGCCAGAAAGTAGTTGGGGGTAGAGGCCAGAGATGTGCATATTGTAACTACACTGCTGGATGATTTCCATCCCCTCCAGCCAGAATAAGAGTGAAGGAAAAGATTGGGCCATAGAGGACTCTGGGAAGAACAGCAACCCAAATCAATACCTAGCTAATAGAGAGCACTGATACACAGAGTGACCAATCAAAACAATCTACATTGGGGAAGTAGAGTGGATCAGGCTTAGGAAAGATCCAGCATGTACAGAAAGATAAAGCAAATCATGAAAGTTTTTTCTAGACAGGATTCATTTCAACCCTTCCCTGGCATCACCAGCTCCTTGGTTTAGTTGGTTACTATAGCATCAGACCGCCCAGGGCTGGACGGAGGCATGGGCAAGCTGGGCAGCTGCCCAGGGCGCCAACCGCTGGGGGGCGCCCGATGGCAGCTGTAAGAGGCGCGCGGTGTCCCTTACAGCTGACATCAGGAGCCGCGCCCCAGGC